GCCACTGTTAGCCTCTGTTAGCGCTGGCCTGTGATTGTATTACCTTTCTCCTTCAGCAGCTCTCTCCACCTGGGAAAGGCAACCCCAATGCTGACCCTTGTTTTTTTTAACTCACCAGTCATGCTGCCTTTTTGATTCCCTTTTGCACTTTCTTGGCGACGAGGATTCCGTCTCCCGTGATGCTGCATAATACATGATCCTGCATTATGCTCAAAGAGTGGGACTTTGTTATGCGGCAGTAGTGCCGCTGGCCACTAACAGCTGTTAGCGGCACAGTAATGCGAGGAGAGGGATGAGGTGTGTGAGGTTGAGCCACTTGTCAGTTGTCAAAGGACAAGACGTGATTGGTTTGTTTCAATTTACATCCGCCCCAACAGTCCTACGTTGTAAACACAGCCAGCATGGTGAGGAGGGGGTTTGTTAACTCGCGTCGCATGTGTCTGTGTAGGAGCCTGAATACTCCATGTAGTATCGGATGACATGGTTTCATCAGTGTTATCATAGCTTTTTGGTACACAGCGGCTACAGTTGTTGCAATACGTGTTTGAAACAGTGAGGCGCTAGAGTGCGCCATCTGTTTGAATACAATATATGATTTCAACGTTAGATGGGAGAAATTCCTACACACTGTGGCTTTAAAAAAATATTAGTGCTGGAACCAGTATGGGTATTTTTTGTTTTGTTTTGTAAAGACTTGGGTGGTTCCTCATGGGTCATGTTACACAGTCAAATAGACACGGGTGTGTAGGCTCATTGTGGGAGATGTAATGGTTCTTACCACAGAATGGTTTAATAGACGAACACAATTAAGTCACACAAAACAATAAGTACTTGTAAATATTGCACAAGCACTGACACCTTTGGGGAAACTACAGTCTGTGATCTACAAGCACAGCAAAACTGAAGACGCAAACAAACTGCTATCGTATTTTGCCAGTTAGTCACGACAGAAACAGAAACGACTGATTGTAAAGTGATGATTCAAATCAGGTCGATGTCACAGAAAATGACAGTGAACACTGACACTTAGTTACTGATTCGGCTGCAGCGTAGTGGCTGTGAAAGGAAGCAGCGTCTGTGAGGTTAAAGTGTTGACTCACAGTGTTAATTGGAGGACGATTACATGCAGGTTGAATGAACAGTGCAGGAAGTGTAGCCACATCACCGCCATCATGCATGAACAGTCTCAACCCTCCTCAAATCTCCGAGTCAGCACGCCAACGTGCAGGTGAATAATTAGAGGAAGAGTTAAGATCTGGGTCGTCTCAAATGACCATGTCTTAATTTATGGTGCCAGAATATTTATGAGCACGCTGCTTCAGTTTGAGCCAGTGATGTTAAAGTGTGTGAGGTGTGATTGTCAGTGTGTGTCTGAGTTATTCTTGGTTTTTCTTGTTCTCCTTCTCTTTGTGCCCTCCTTCACCTCTCCTCCTCCTCCCTTCTGTTTACAAATGGTGGAATGTAACCCAAGTACATTTACTCAAGTACTATACAAGTACATATTTAAGCTACTTGTGCTTTATTTGAATCTTTTCTTTTGATGCCACTTTGTGCTTCTGCTGCACTACATTTATCTGACAGCTTTACTTACTTAATAAATAAAACAAACAACAAAACAAATGAGGGGTTTATAAAATAGTGTATTTTCTTATAAATTAAAAACGAAGCTGAAACAATTAGCTGATTGATTGATTTTTTTTTTTAAAACAATCTTTTTTATTTTTTAACGTTTTTTTTTTCTTGTAACATTAAATGCGAACAGTAACATTTCAACAGTCAAAATAAGTACAATATCCCCAACCCTGGCAAGAACAAAATAAGTAATTAAAATCATAAAAATAAAAGTACGTAAATAAATAAAATGAATAATAACATCAGATTATAATCACAGCAGTACATCATTTGCAGAAAGCTTCAAATTATTCAAAATCCTGAGTTTCCATAAAGTCCATATAAGGGCTCAACAAACTAACAAAGTTCTTGTCCTTCTTTTAAGTGATTATACTTACGTACTTTTACTGAAGGAACTTTATTAATGCAGGACTTTTACTTGGAACAAAGTATTTTTATAGTGTGGTTAGTCTCGCCACCAGACAATCAGAGATCTCCGCCTTCTGATAGTCTGGGGACACTCCTTTCTAAAGTGTGTTTAACACACCGGAGAAAACGACCGGCAACAAAGCAACGCCTCTTGCATTTTTGAAAAGGACGCGCCTTCCCGGAAATGTGCTCTCCCCCTTTTCTCGTCTGCAAGGAATTAAACACACAGAGAGCTTGAAAATGGGTGCCGAGAGATTTAACTCTGTTTTATCAAACATGTGCTCAGTCCACAAGATTGTGGAAATGAAGGACTTATAGCGACTTTGTTTAAAACTTTTTACGCAGTCGGACTATGTTTACGAGCACAAGAGTTCAGCGAGCCACCGAAGGACCGCCCTGCTGATTTACTATTGGTTCTGCAACGTAGGGAGTTTTTTTAAACTCTGAAATTGTATCCGCCCATCTAAACACAAAATCAGGGAGAAAGACATCAGTCTTTAGTTAAGCAAAGCGTCTAAAGACTGACTTGTGAGTCTACAGTGTGGTATTTGTACTTTTATTTCACCAAAGCAGCCCCTCTAGTATGCTACTACGTCAAGATCGTAACAATTAACGCAAATTTAAACACTCCTTGTGAATGTTTGCGACTTTACAGCTTTGTCCAATCACCCCGACTTTTTCATAAATTCGACCAATCATTGTGGTTTCCCGTGAGTTTCACAAATCATAGCAGTCTCCAACATAATGTCACCAAACTAACTTCCTTGTTTCCAGTTGTGTAGATGACATATGTGACAAACGTATTACATTTGCCAACAAAAATTACACCTAAAGACTAAGAGTGAGTCAGTGCATCATTATGTGTATCTGTTGAACCAAATAAATCCTCTGTATCCACATCTGTACTCAGAATGGGCGGAGTTTAAACCAGAAGCAGGTGGGACGTAACAGGAAGTTGTTATTTAGGCCTGAAATTGATATGGGGTGATCAGAAGTTGCTGTATTTATTATTTATTAAAAATATGTAAATAGCCTCAGGACTGAGCTTTAGATCATTTTTGATCACAGGATAAAGAGCTGAACACAAGTACGGATATTAACATATTTTACCTGGATGATAATCCGACTTGTAAAAAGTACAACAAGCATTTAGCTCAACCCTAATAAAGCCTCTGTAAGGCAGTTCTCTGAAATGAAAGCACGTGGGGGATGGGGGTAGACTGTTTGCACCTTGTGCAACATTGTGGTAGAACACAAACAAAAGTAGTTGATTGACAAACACATTTTTCTCCTGAAAAACACACCCTGAGAATGGCTTCAAGCTGTTGACAGCAGACAAATCACCAAGACAGAGGCTGTTGTATTCAAATCTACTGCAGGTGCAGAAAGAGTCAAGGTGAGTTAAATTAAATAGGCAGGTTAGTGAAAACGTTAGTGTGGTAAAAGTCACATAGAACAGTTTGTTTTTTTGTTTTTTTTACTCTCACTGAAACAAGCTGCCTTTTTTTATTTTTAATGAATGATTAAGAAATTCCTGATTCCTGCAGGTTCATTGCGCAAAACACCGAACAACATCCCTTTTTTATTTTTTTTAATTTATTATTATAACAAGGTGACAACAGAACAAGTTGAGACAAGTACAGGGACGTATAAACAACCAAAAGAGAATCTATAGAATAAGATGGAGACTTACAATAAAAGTAAAAGAGGACAAGGTAAACTAATAAGAAAACAATAGGGATGCACCGAATATTGCAAAAAAAACACACATTCGGTATTCAGTGGAATAAGTTAAAAGCAAGGCCGAATAATAGCGGCGTGTTTTGATAACGCAATCAAACAGCGTGCCGTGACGGGCGGAGTAAAATGTCGGCAGTGTGGCGATCCGTCCGTCACCACACTCGCATTTACGACTAAAAATAGTTTTGAGCGAGCAAAATAGGCTTAAATCATTCAGCACGCTGTGCGAGCAGCCTACAGATTTCAACCAGCAGCAGAAACGAAAGGCGAATCCCATCGGTTGTGGGTTGAACGGGGGTCACAGACATAGACAGTAATGTATTCCTGTCAAATACGGCGGCCATCGGCTTACTGGCGATGGAGAAGTCGGTTCCAATAATATCCTCTTCTTGGCGTCATGACTGCCCAGAAGTACCTGAACAGCTGAGCCAGCCGAACACAAGTATGTGACAGAGGAGAAACGAGCCGTTCACGGTCCACAAACCTCACCGCACTTTAGGGTCTGTTCTTTACTTATGAAGGGACTGTTCATTACTTGTCAGGGGAGGAGGGTGGATGGTTGATTCTTATTTTATTTATTTATTTTATTTTGACCCCCCCTATGTTAATCACTTATTGATGCTGTTTTTGAAGTATGAATAAGTCAATAAGTAATTTATTCAATTGAAATATCATTGATGTATTATAGAAAAGTGATTTATCTTTTTATAAATGACAAAAGGCACATCTGCCTCATTTTCGTTGAGGTATCCTGATACTACTCAGAACCATGATATTTTCATTGGTATCGTACAGTGGGTCCCAATATTGGTACCGTGACAACACTAATCTGGAGGGGGTTCATCTGCAAAAACTAATGAAAAACTAAACAACAATATTCGGTATTCGGCCAAGCGTTTAATATTATTTGGCTTCGGCTTCGGCCACAAATTTTGATTTTGGTGCATCCCTAGAAAACAAACAAAAAAAGAGAGCAATAAAGAATACAACACAGGTAAAAAAAAAAAAAAAAATCCCCACCTGCTCCCACATTTCACTGCAGAAAAATGCCTAAAAACGTTTTAAAATATGTCTCAGTTTTTTAGAAAAGCTGCCGTGAAATCAAACATTTCAAGCGCAGAACCCTCCAAAGAGCCTGTGAAATCCTCAAAGTATCTGAGTACTTCCTCAAACATTTGTTTTCTCATCATCTGTCTGTCTGTCTCTTCTCTCCCGCTCAGGCACAGTCCCTTCAGACAGCACAAGACCAAAGACAAACATGAGATTGACCGCATGACGCTCACCATGGTAAGACACATGTACATGTTTCCTAGAGCTCTGCGCGGTGACAAAAGGTGCACATGATGTCGGATGCACATATTACAAGGAGTCTTTGTGTCAACACACACAGTGGAGCACATAGGAGTCTTTATTTAACCCTGAACACATGGGTTTGGCCCGTGTTTACCTTACAGTAATACCAACTGCACACAGATGTGTATATCCCTATGCACACGGTGCTGCATGTGAACACACACCTGATGCACGCCAAGTCAGAAGAGTCAGATGTACCTGTGTGAAATGTGCCGACAGCGTGTCTCCGAGCTGACAGAGATAAATGTCTTTGTTTTTTGGTCATCTTTTAGTCTCTGCGCCTGCTGCCATCCAACACTCAGCTGTGTGTTTACTTTGCTGTGTCATGGGAAGACGCAGGAGATGAGGCATATGACAGAAACCCTGCTTAGATAAACTGAGCGAGCAGCCAAGCTGGAAAGTTAAAGTACACCCCTCCCCCCCACCTGGGTCAAATGGATTTATAGCCACATCCAGTGCAGGTTTACTCAGAGAGTTGAGGATCTGTGGTTAAAGAGAAATAAAGAAATAAGGAAGCTGAGAAATGCAGAAGGCATTTCAGTTTCATCTGCTTTAAATCTGTGTATTTTTAATTAAATTTAAAGCCCCTCCCACTCAAAATATGTTGAGCTTCACTGCACAGAATGATTTTGTTCAGTTTGTTTCCACATTCATCAGGTGGAAAGTTTCCCTGAGCTCACCTTAAGGCTGTTTTCAGACCTAGAGTCGTCTCCTTTGGTCTGAATCAGGGACTCATGTCGTTCCAAAGTTGTATAATTGCCTAGAGTTGGTTCGTGTTCTCACGGCAGCATTTACAAGAGGACCAGATCAAATGCCTTGTGTGAGAAAGCTGCTCTTGATTGGTCAGAATTTCCATGTGGGAAAAATCCAGGAAGTAAAGCAAACGTTGAAGAAGAGTACACTTGCAAGATAAATGTGACACTTTCTAATGTCACAATGGAGGGACAACTACGCAGGTTGATTTTAGCGCTGCTCATCGTGGACTATATTGCTGTCATTGTTCATTTTAGTCAAAGCATACAGTTTGAAAACGAGGCGCGGCTCCAACTAGAAAACAATGTTTTGATGCATTGGATGTGCTGAATGTGCATATTAAGGCAGTACAGGAGGAGGTGCACATTAATAATCCTCCAGGACTGTAACATGCTCATGTTTAACCCAAACAGTGTGTCATGTGACTGCAGTTGCTTCACATCCAGGTCGGAACATGTATATGGTTAATACATGTAGGCCATAGGTTGGTACATATCATGGATTTATACATTAAATAACAACCTCAGCTGTGATTTCTTTCTGTACTCCATTTTCTGATTTCCTTTGATGCCACTTTTTCGGCTTTCAAACAGAATGAGTTGGTCGTATTGGACCTGGGATGTCTGTGTTTCCGTTACTAGCTCAGAGAAGTTCCTCTTCTCAGTCGTATTACTTCTCTCCATGTCGTAAACTTCAAGGACGAGGCCTGTAAACCCAGAATATATCAGGGCAGGATGTTTTTAGCCGCCGTATTTATCAGCAGTCAAGTTTCATGAATCACATGCGAACCCTAACGTAAGATGATTTCTGTGCTTGGATCTCGGCTGGTTTGTGAAATAGATTGATAACTGTTGTGTCTAGCTGTTAAACTTTTGAAACAGAGAGTAGATTTTTCATGATGGAAGAGAAGTAGATTGATTTTTGTGGAAGTAATAAGTAGAGAGAGATTTTTTGAGAGATATGATGGTAAAGTATCATGTTTTCAGAGCTGCAAATAATCATATTTGCAGTTTTCTAAGCAAAAATGCCAAACTTCTGCTTGGTTTAACTTCTCAAACGTGAGGATTTGAACCTTTTTTTTGTCTCACTTGATAATAATAAACTGAATCTCTTTTCTTTCTGACTGAACGTACAAGTTCCAGAAGGTGGCATCATCAGGTTTTTAAAGCTCAGGTAATATTTAGATGCTCTGTCCCACTGGCACGTTTCAGTCTGCGCCAAAAAAAAGTCTTGAGGCTGGATATTAGATAATCCAACCCTCCTGACCCTGCGTTTCGAAAGGTCTGAGACACAATGCTGAGTGGAAATGACGCGGTGTATTGAGTGTGTCATTGTCCGTTAGAGGAATACACTGCCGAGCCGTTTGATGTCATGGGTCAGATTCAGCAAACACTCCAGATGAATGGTGTCCATTGAGCCCACCCAGTCACATATCTGCTCTCACCCACTCCTTCTTTTCTCCTCCTCCTCCTCTTCACATCCAAGCCAGAGCCCTGCAAAGGCGACGTGTTGTGTTTGAGCACAGACAAGTTTACAGTGACAAACTGTGGAGTGAATTTTTTTCTGCGGCGCAGCTTCAGCTCCTCTTCGCTCTGTCCGTGCCAGCGGCAGCAGCAGTTGTCCATCACGGTGGAACGCGTCCAAATCTCTGTGTCCGTTTATGTGTTTTGTCGGGACATGAAGCAGTGGAGACACACACACACACACACACACACAAATAGAGACGCTGTTTGGCTAAGCAGGACCTTTAAACAGAGAAAGTATGATCTTTCATATCACAATAAATCCAGATTAGGATTTTAATCCAGCCACTTAATCTGGTTTATCCCCTTAATCCTTGTCTGTGCGTGTGTGTGTGTGTGAGAGAGAGATAGAGATAGGGAGGGGGAAAGGCTGCGATTCAGCCCCGACCGGGCTAAAAATACTGCTCTATATGTCTTTGTGTTTATTAAACATGATGAATGGGCTCATTACATAAACACGGCAGTGAAGAACTGAGCAGCCAAGACAGGAAGAGATGGATGGAGGGAGGGAGGGATGGAGCAGATCCTGATAGCTGGCACTTCTGCACTCGGAAACGTCTCCACGAAGCAGAACGTAAAGCTCATTAGCAAGAAAATAAAAAGGCGGAGGCTGACCTGTGCTAAAGCAGAGGCTTTTAAACTGTGTGGCGAAAGTTTAAAGGGTTCTTTTTTTAAAACTGGATCCTATTTCCCATGTTTTTGTGTCTAAGTGACTAATGGGAGCAACAGTTTCTGAAACCGGGATATTTGCACTGTCATTGTACACCCGCTTAAAGTGTCAGAAACATTATGGAAAGGATCCCTACAGAGACAGACCTTTTTTAAAGAGCAAGATCCTTTTTGTTCAACCAGAAACAGCCCTGAAACCGCCATTGCCTAACACCAGACTCCATTCAAATAAACACTAATTTTAGCGTGTATAAAGCCATCTTATTTTCACATCTAACTGGGGGAATTGCGGGTTTATTTCAACCAAACGAAAGTTGGTGATTGTTGGAACAGTGGAAAGACAAACAAAGACAACTTTTGTGAGTTTTATTTTGTCTCTGTCGACTTTAAATAAAGTGTGTTTTACAACAATAAAATAGCTGATTATTTAAATGGAGTCTGGTGGGTTTGATGATAGCGATTACAGGGCTGTTTCTGGTTAAACAAAAAGGATCTTTCTCTTTAAGAACAAGGTCTATCTCTGTTGGGATCCTTTCCAGAAGTTGTCAGACTCCCATAATGACAATCTGGGCCTGTCAGTGGCAAAAACAAGCACTTGAAGACACCAATCAGACAGCATGTTGTAAAACATTTGGTGCACCATGTTACCCCTTGTTGTTGAAGCCTGTCTCGATTAGAGTGCTTTTGGCAGCTTGTTCCAGTGTTTCTTTAATTTTTGCTAGGTGTTACAAAGGTGTCACAAATCTGTACTCTAAAATCTGCATTAAAAAGCGGACAGGCAGAGGGGACTTGCTGAGCTCTTGATGAGGGTGAGAGGCTGTTCCCAAACCAAACATTGGTCACAGGGAAACTGAGGTCCGTTTGGGTGTGTGAGACCGTTGGACAGAGGAGAAATCACAAGGAGTACCACCAGCTGGTCCAAGAGCTTTGCCTGAACAATTGGCTCAGGGCTTGTTTTAGAACAAGTCATGGACAGTGTGACAATCTGCTGTCAATCGTCGTACCTGATGCAGATATGTCTTGCAGCTTGCCCAGAGCAACGTTGAAACAGAGCGAACATTAGCTTGACACAAACTATGTACGCTACCACTTGCTGTCATCGCCACCACAGAAGGGCTGCCTCTCAATTCATCTGATTGGTCAAGGGGAAGACTCACCATTGATGTTGGTGAAGATTCTCAGTCATCCAGGTCATGGTGATCTATATCGTAGACAACTGGACTTGCTTGAGTTTCTTGACGACGTCTCACCTCTCGTCCAAGAGGCTTCTTCAGTTTTAACCAAGTTAAAACTGATATAGCACTTAAGATCACCATTGACGTTGGACGCTTTTCCTGCTCTGAGTTAAAGTTTTTTCAACTCAAGGCGCCCGGAGCACTCTTGCAAAAACATTTGCATAGAGTGGAAAAGCGCAAGGTTCCTTAGCAAAACAAAAACAGCGAGCAAAATGTCTTACTCTCATTGAAAACCACTACATAACACCGCCTCGGGCTGCACGCTTTGAATATGCTCTGATGGTGCAAACATGCCCTGAGTGTTTACAATGCAGCCTGTTTGGCGGCTACTGGCTGCAGCGCTCTCACTCAGTTCTGAAGTTTAACATGGTCAACAACACCAGCAGCGACTGTGAGTCACAGCTGATGGAGGCATTTTAGTTACGTTCAAGTTCCTGATTGCTGCAGCTTGCGTCCAAATTTGCTCTCTTAGCAAGAAGGTGCTCCTCATAACTGCAGAACCTGCCTGAGAAATGTCACGTTTTTAAGTTTTCTTCAGTATTGAAGTAATCCAGTGATACTAATCCATACATCCATGGGTACACTGCAAACAGGAGCTGCTAATAGATAATTCAGCATACTTTTAATGGTGCTAATTTATTAAATTGTAAAAAAAATATAAGCTCAAATACGGAGCTGAAGCTGTAGCTAAGTGTGGTGACGTTTCATCCAGCAAAGCCTCCTGATTATGGGAAGTATAGTTCCATATTTAGAGTGTGGTTTATCCCCCATATAGAAGTGAAAAAGAATAATAATAGTGATTTTTATGTTGCACAATCCACATATCTTTGACATTCCTCCATCATTGGACACACAGACTAAAAAAGTCAACCATTTAAAATATGCAGGAGCATTTTTGTCTGAGGAGGAGACCGAGCGTGTCAGACTTCTTTGCAAACCCTTGTGCTGTAGGTGCAAATGATGTCAGTCTATTTTCAAACACCCCATTCTCACTTTCTCCCCCTCCTTCCTTCTTTCTTCCCTCCTTCCCTCCCTTCCCTCCTTTCCTCTCGCAGAATGTGGAGCTGCCAGACTCTTTCACTGCGGAGCTCAAAGACCTGCTGGAGGGGCTGCTGCAGAGAGACGTATCTAAGAGGCTCGGCTGTCAGGGCCGAGGGTACGACACCCAACACACACACACACACACACACACACACACACACACACTAAAGTTCACATTAACCTTCGTGCCATATCAGCGTCTGTGTCCACAGGCGTGCAAATGAATTCATCAGTCTGATAGATTTTGGTAGATGTGCTCATTAAGGCCGGAGACACCGGGCGGTGCAGTTTGCGGCCCGGTGAAGACGGATAGAAACGGACGCAAGTGATCCGACAGAAGCCGAGTTCATCACTAATTTCATCAGCGCTGTCGTTTCGCATCAGCTTATGACTAAAGTGGAGTGATGGATCAGTGTCTGCACAGGGTGTGCACATGGTTAAATAGCAGGATTAGGAGTGTTTGTCGGAGGGGATTAATGTGGCAAACACTGCCACCTAGTGTGCAGATGGAAACTAACACCTGTGTGTGACAAACCCTTTTCTCTCACAGAGCCCCAGAGGTGAAGGAACATCAGTTTTTCAAAGGCATTGACTGGCAGCAGGTGTACCTCCAGAAGGTGAGTGAGCGTCGACTCCTGCATGAATCCTCTTTTTGTTCTTTGTGCTGCAGCTTTTTTTCAACATTTCCTTATTGAGCCTGTGTTGTTCTGGTGTCGGCCTTTTAAAGATGCAACTGCTTTGAGTGATGCAACAAGTCTGAAGGCCCCTGTTTCCTCTGTTTACTTTAGTATTAGCCTATGTTTGAATTAATACAAACAATATACATTTTAGTTCTCATATTTCTGACATTTTGCTTTTGTTACTGTCTCTTTATTTACTGTATCTTGCTGATGCTTCTTGATATCGCTCTATCCCCATGGCGGCTGCAAAACTGCAAGTTTCCACGGCTTTACGCCAAGTAAAGGTTTATTTTATTCTTTCAACTTCATCTTTTGAAATAAGAACAGCCCTGCCATGCAGGATTTGTAGATAAAGAGATCAGATTTGTAAAAAAAATATTATACTGCCCTTTAAAATTCAAACATTCAAGCCCCAAACAACACAGGTATTGAATGTTTTGTCCTGGTTTATATTCACAAAAGGGTCAAAAAGCATATTGAAAAAACTAAATTAACCAGCTGGCCGCCAGCATTATTACATGTTGATAGTTGGTTGAATTTAAGTTGTGACGTCGGGTGACCAAAATTCAATGTCAGGACACATCTATCAAAATCAGTACAAGAGACACGCACATCTCAACGTCCAGTGTTGTGGGTGCTGGACCAAAGAAGGACAATGTCTCATGCCAACATCAGCGTAGAGCGCTGACGACAGATGACACTGATGTTTTGTTGGTTTTAAGTTGTGTTGTTAAAGCAAAAATAAATATGTGTAATGTCGTCACGTTATTAAGCACCCAGCCAAATTTGAATGATCAAAAAAGTCGCCAAGTATAAAATTATGTTTCAAAACCATGTCTGCTGAATATGTTGAAGCCACGCCCACTTGCAGGACAGCTGCACCCTCTTTTAACTGTAGCACGACAATGGATGCTACATCTTGCAGCTGTATTGGACTGCCAGAGAGAACACTTGACCTGCCCCAAAAATCAACCTCATTCTTTTCAGTGTGACACAGAATGGTCATTTTCAGTCATTTTTTTCAAACATCAGCAAAACTCAACAGCAAACCACAATCCAAGGTCTTCCAAATGCCTCATGCCAACATCACCTTGAAGTAAGATAAGATAATCCTTTATTCGTCCCACAGCAGGGAAACATTAACATTACAGCAGCAGAGGGACAGAGAGCAAGCAGGAAGCATCAGTAGAAAAAAAACACAAAGCAATATGTGAGTACGATTCAATAAAAAGAGAAACACAGGTCGCTATGATAAGTAAACTCTACAAAACAAAGAGCAATATAATAAGCAAACAGCATATAAAAACACAGAGTGATATATAGTCAAATATATAAAGAGACAGACCGTATGACTAAAGGAGAATAACGACATTCAGTTAAGGTTTGAGAACAAAACCCAACATCTGCAAAACATCACAATGTTAATGTCCACATTATGTGACATTAACATTGTGATGTTGTTAGATATTTAAAATATCTCGGACTCCATTTTCATTCCAACAAAATTTAACCTCTGTCGAACATAAGAGTCAAACGTCTTGTGTGTAGATTTGTAGTAATTAAAACAATTGAGTTCTTACTCATAGTTCCCATTTGTTGAATTTGTTTTTTGGAAAGGTGACAGCCCAAATACATGTGATTTGCTGCTAAAGAGAAAAACTCTGGTTTGGCCCTTTAAATTAGACATTCACGCCCAAATAACACCACAACAGTCTAACTTTATATTGACAGGAGGTTCACAAAGCAGCTAGAAAACTTGTTCAGATCAATAAGCACAATAACAACATGATCAAAAGCTGCTTCTACAATGTGGGCACAGTTTTGTAGACTCCAGTGTTGATTAAGTCTGCTGCAGCCATGGGCGGATAATGTGACAATGGGCCCCTGGGCACAGATATGCAAATAGCCCCGTCACCTCGCCTACATAAGAGCCAGACACACCAATTTGTGATGGTTTTGCATCTCTTTGTGGTCATTTTGAATCTCTTCCTGGTCGCGATGTGTTAATGTGACATTTGACATTTTGCAAGTAAAGGCCAAGGGGCCCCCTGACACTTTGGGCCCCTGAGCCTGGGCATCGTATCTATCTGTGGAGAGACATTAGTGTTTTATGATCAAATAAAAACAACATCCACAAACGTACAGTATACGACAATTTGTGAGTCATTTTACGTAAAAATATTATCCAACTCTATTATCCATCCAACCCGACAAACTAGTTTATCTGTGAGGAAAAGAAGCCGTTCCCACTTTAAAGCAGCTGTGCGGAACTTTTCGTTTTTGTTGATTATAGCGCCCCTTAGGTCGAAGCGGTAGGACACCCACAGCCTGGTGTCGTAAAATCTCGACTGCAACTGGCAATTACCGCATGCATTTGTTTTGGAGAGCGAGAGGATTAACTAACGTCAGGTCAGTCCAAGTAATTAGTGGAAACAGCAAAATGACTCAGTAAATTCTCCTGTCGTGTTTCTGTTCTGATCTAATCCAACACAGCAAAGCTGTTACCTGCAGCCTTCGCTTGCAAAGCTAATGCTACTAACGTTAGGTCAGTCCAAGTAATTAGTGGAAACATGCTAACTTTACACAAGTTAGTAGTAAAGTAAGACCTGTTCATAAATGTTCTGGTGTAGCTCTGAATTTCTTATAAACTGAGGACAACTGCCTGCTGTATATTTGTGTTCATGGTCACAGTCACAGATAATTTTGTGGCGTTTGTTGCAACGTTACAAGACAAAAGCGGTTCACATCAGCTAACGTTACTAGACAAACGCTTGCTTATAACTTCCATGTCGTCATATATTGAAGTGAAACAATGTCTAACAAGTTGCGGTATATTCTCTAAATAAAAACAAATATGACATACCTGTCGATTAGGAAAAGGGCCAACTCGGGATCAGTTTTAAAACCTTTCAAATCTCTCAGCTCTCTCCACTTGGTGAATGCCCGACCGAGGTTTACACGCGTTTGGGCTCGAGCCCTGTCACTGTCCCGTTTAGTCTTCTTCTGTTCTTCTGTTCTTTTGTTCTTTTTCTTTTAGATGGTGCTCCTTCTTTATCCGCCATGACATCGAAAGTACAACCAAGTCCTTATAGATACATCTGGTAAAACTGTTATGTGTTCAGCAATGCCCGTTGCGTACCGCTTACTCGAAGAACACTCTGTGTAAACACGGCTCTTCTTCTTCTGTGGTTTAATGGCTGCGGGCCGCTGCGGGCGAGCAGAATCACTTCCGCCTCGGGTGCCGTATTCTGGTTTGCTGACTTCCGCTGTGTCCGACCCGTGCGAGGCTACGCTAAATAGCCATATAGAGAAAGGCTTTTTTGTTGCTGTTGGGTTCAAATAAATATGCGGATCTTCAAGGGGAGGTGATACAAACTAGGGACAGTTTTATACATGGTAAAAAGTTCCGCACAGCTGCTTTAAATTCCACATAAATAAGGTAAAAAGCTGAGTTTTCCCACCTGCACTTAGATGCAAAATGCAAAGTCTTGAAATGCAACAAAACTTTTCGTTCATAAATGCAACAAAACTCTGTTAATGAACTTGAAGTTAGAGCTGTATATTGTATGTGAAATACAGTGAGGATGTATTTATTTGTCAAATTGTTTTACATTTGTTCAAATCCGTTGGTATTTGCTTGTGGACTGAAGAATGCAACAACATAAATCTTGTTTTTATTTGTAGATTTCACTCTACAGATAAGATGCAGCAGAAATTATCTGTACTCGAGTCAAAACTGTGCTGTCGCTTTAAGTACTTATGGAATGTAACTGTAAAATTCCTGTTATTCAGACATGAATAATCAAACTTAAAGGGTCCACTGTGTCAGATTTAGAGGGATTTAGTGGCCTCTAGTGGTGAAGATTGCAGATTGCAACCACCTGAAACTTCTCCAGGTTAGAATTCCTTCAGTGTTCATTGTTCAGGAGGTTTTTTATTGGGAGCTGAATTATCCACAGTCTCTTCCTCTCCAAAACAAAAGGAGCAGGTGATTTAAACTGGTCAAAACACTCAATAAAGCAGTTTCACGTTACTAATCTGTGTTTCTCAGAGCTGCTTTTTGAGAGAGGTTGCTATCTACAGTGGCCATAGCAAAAACGCGAATGTCCCTATCTAGTTTAGTTCAGTTTATTTGCACATACATGTACAGAAAACACAGGGATAAGAAGTTAAAACGTTAAAACATTGTGCAGGAGAGTCTTCCCTATTAACAACCATACTTAAAAGAAAAAGGTAAAAACAAAGATTGCATAACTGAAAAAGAGTTCCAGATGAAGACGTATTACAAAATTGTTAAAGATATAAAGAGAAACACAAATTACAGTAGTAGTAGAGTCCTTTCAGATGTTCTTTGAGTAACGATAATATAGAGATTGAAGAAGGGATGGTCCTCTGTGAGCCAGCGATTGGTTTGTCCATTCTGGGCTACTGAAACATAGCTGCACATAAACAGCTCATTCTTAGGTAACAAAAACACAATTCTTATTTTCAGGTGATTAAACACCAAAGAAAACATACTTATTGTGTAATTATGTTTAATTTCTGCCATTTGATTCCCCTAAATCCTACACACTGGACCTTTAAGTACAAGTCGTGGCACTACAGCTGAATGAAAGAGATCAAAGAAATAATTTGTTTTAATTACTACAAAACTGTTCCTAAATATGTGTCAGTATCTTAAGATCGTCCAGATGATTTTTGACCCTTTTATTTTCAGTATAAATGTGGACAGATGCCTCAAAGAAAAATACATTTAGAAATCAAAAACATATTTAGCCGTGTTTTTAACTGTGTACCATCTGTGACAAACGTGTAAAACCAGTGGTACCGTCCTTATTAAAGAGGAAATATAGGTTATTGTTGTGATAGGAATCATGTGGTCTCCATCTGCAGCAGATCAGGTTCATGTCTCTCTGTGTAAAGCGACAGTGGATGGAGCTACACTAGTCATTAGTCCGGTACAGTCACAGTTGCCATGGTTACCCCATCACTTGAGGGAAGCACTGCTATGGGACTGTGGCCTTGTTGTTTTGCTCACACTCTCCTCCTTCTGTCACTTGTCTCTCTTTCTGCCATTTTCTCCTCTTCTTCTTCTTTGACTGATAACTGTCTCTTTGTGTTCTCTCCCTCCGCCCGCAGTACTCTCCTCCTTTAATTCCTCCCCGGGGAGAGGTGAACGCCGCAGATGCTTTCGACATAGGCTCCTTTGATGAGGAGGACACCAAGGGCATCAAGGTACGGCAGACTCTTAAAACGCCCAGACACATTTATGTAGCACGCACTTCAGGTAAACATGGCTGTGAACGGACGTGTCCTGTCTCGAGCGCAGCGTTTTTACTGACATAATCAAAGGTGTGTGAGGCAGCAGAGGGGACACTCACTGACACAATGACATCACATGAACATGGACATTTTCAGCATTTAGAAATGCAGCAGGTCGCTGAACACAAGTACAGTTTTCTGTGGTGACGACATTTACGTGCACAAGATATTCATGTTTTTTGCCCTTAAGTAGAAATAATATCTTTTTCAGATTATCTCTTTACATGGCTAATAAAACCCGATATTCCACTAATACTCCCATTTGTATGTCAACTCTGGTACTGGTATGTTGAATATAAAAATGCTTGAACAATTAGTTGATTCAATGATTAACAGAAAAGAATTGCCAATTACTTTAATAATTGAGTAGTCATTTTAGTGATGCTTCAAGTAAAAACAGCAAAAATTAATTTTTACATTTCATGTTAAAATAAATCAATCAACACATCCTGTTGTTAAAATGATCCAGTTAATTTATTGAGGGGCGTTTCAGCCCTAGAGTCTTCTCCTTTGGTCTGAATCAGGGACTCGTGTTGTCACAAAGTTGTATAATTGCCTAGAATTGTTTCATGTTCTCACGGCAGCATTTACAAGCAGACCAGATCAAATGCCTTGTGTGAGAAACCTGCTCTTGATTGGTCAGAATTTCCATGTGGGAAAAATCCAGGAAGTAAAGCAGACGTTGAAGAAGAGTACACTTGCAAGACAAATGTGACACTTTCTAATGTCAAGGAGAGGTAGACACACGCACATCCATATTACCAGGTGCCGAGTCGAAAAGACGTCAACAGGAAGAAAGAAAAAGACTCGCAACACTGTAGCTGCTCCCAATAAAAAAATATATATACTTTATTCTATCATCATAGTATAAAAGGACAACGTTTCGAGCCTACCGGCTCTTCATCAGGTCACTTGTGTTGAGACATCTCAGCTGGTCACATTTATAAAATTAGCGGGCAACACCCATGGGTGTGGTCAACACATCAATAAATCAATCAATCCATATAACAACAAATACATCACAACAATATTAGAAATAGGGGTTAACCCCACATTAGTCTGAGTGGGCAGAAGTTCGCTGCATAGATCAGCCTCTCATTGGGTGGAACGAGCCACCTGCTGAAGTCCCGCCCTACCACCTCCGGTTGCAGTTTTCAACACGTCCTTTACTAACTTTTGCAGTGTTTGATCTTGCGGGGATGTAGCCATTTTTCTGCCATGGTTCGTGTCCTGTAGGCGATATTTTTGTGGGCGTGTTACACCAAAACCTGTCCCCCCCCCCCCACCCCCCCCGCCTCCCCCCCAGCAATATTTTTGCTAGCGCACCGTTGCTGTGGCACCGCCCAGAACAATTGTGATTGGTTGAAAGAAATACAAGCAGCCGGGGCGTTTTTTTCTCCAATCTCAAAGTGAGAGTTGGCCCAGCCAGACCTCTCTTTTCTTGAGAAAGGTCTGGTGAGCGAGACTAACCCCGCATAGAAGTCAGCCTAAGGCTTAGGCTGACTTCTATGCTCTGTGATTTATTGATGTGTTGCCCACACCCATGGGTGTTGCCCACTAATTTTATAAATGTGACCAGCTGAGATGTCTCAACACGAGTGACCTGATAAAGAGCCGGTAGGCTCAAAACGTTGTCCTTTTATACTATGATGATAGAATAAAGTATTTTTTTTTTTTTATTGGGAGCAGCTACAGTGTTACACTTTCTGATGTCACAATGGAGGGACAACTACGCAGGTTGATTTTAGCGCTGCTCATCGTGGACTATATTGCTGTCATTGTTCATTTTAGTCAAACCATACAGTTTGAAAACGAGGCGCGGCTCCAACTAGAAAACAATGTTTTGATGCATTGGATGTGCTGAATGTGCATATTAAGGCAGTACAGGAGGAGGTGCACATTAATAATCCTCCAGGACTGTAACATGCTCATGTTTAACCAAAACAATGTGTCATGTGACTGCAGTTGCTTCACATCCAGGTCGAAACACCTTCTCACCACAAACCAACCGCACCAGAGTTCCTTTGTAACCGGACTGAGACCACCTCTTCAAGAAGGTCTCAGTCTGGTTGTTTTGGTGCACACCTGAGTGTGATTGCTGTGTTCACACCTGCCCAAACGAACCGCACTGAGGGGGCAAATGAACTTGAGTTGGACTGAACTGAACCAAACAGGGCGGGAGTGAAAGCACCCTAAGTACCAGTCAATATTGTCCGCACTTTAAAACCCTCGGTAACCAAATGAAATTATCACCAAAAACTCGATACACACACAGTGAAGCTGGCAGCAACCATGCGCTTCAAACACAAAATTTGACTCGTAGGAAATACGATTTAGTAAATATTATTCATCAGTCACACACACTGACTTTTTGTCTCTCAAAAACGATCACTAAAAACACGATGTATTGTTTTAACACTGAAACTCTAAACGTACATCAGGTAAAACATGAATCAGTCCGATAAATGTTTTCAGTATTTATTAAACATGAAGAAAAAAGTGTCACCTGCACTCTGACTCCACACCACAAAGGTTTAATCAAGACAACGTTGCGATCCGACTTAGATCTTCTTCAGGTCAAAATCTTTTGACCTACTTTGTAATGTGCGTCTAATTATTCCCCCTCAATATGACATCCATAAACACAGTAAGATAGCGAGCGGTCTAACCCTAAAACAAATGTTTCCGTGTAAAACTATCCACCGCCGTATTAAACCCAGAGATCTGCGCAGACGTCTTCACGCTAACAGCTAATTCTTCATTCTCAGCTCGGAGTCATGATTATTTTCTGAGCATTACTTTTGTGATTTGTGCAAAACATTTTATTCTCCTCATGAACCCTCGGTCATTCTGGTTTGTGCATCTGATAAAGACGTTTCTCAGAAACCCATTAATACATGAAGGCCACGGACGGATTGTTGAGTCATGTCCTTTCTCTTTGACTAAGTGCAGAGCAGCTGCCGTTTGTGCTCATATTCCTGAATCACAGGTAAAGTTTTTGATCATGACTCTCAGCGCAGGTACGGCTTCAGAATAATAATCAGGGCTGGTTCAGACTGAAGCAATTCAAAGCGTCTTGTGTTTGTTGTCTGGGTTCCTCCTTCATTAACGTTAATGTGGCTGCAGCAGCAGCTATTCATCCTCTGACACGCCAGCGCAGAGAAATAAAAGACAAAAAAAGTTTGCTTACATTTCCCCAGACGGTGCTGGTCATTAACACGCGAGTAATAATGGTGTGAGAGCTGCAGTCTCCAGACGTTAATCAGGTTCCTGTCTGAAACACAACAAAAAGAGACAGTGAAGATTACTGCCGTATGAACACCCAGTGTGTTGTTGCATTATACTGAGAGGTGTTTTAGACTGTGCCCTCACTGATTTACACGGGGTGGACGAAATATGAGAAACACCTCTCATTATATAATCAGCAGCTCAAACTGCGGCCTCCACAATGATCCTACTGTTAAATCAACACGTCTCTGAAGACATTATAACCTTCAGGAAGGATTTATTGCAGGACAGCTGTATTAGACTGGACTAGCTTCACCCAGATGTGTCTAATAAACTGACTATTGATTGTATAGGAGTCTTAACAATATCATTTTTATCAAAGCTACAATATTTCACAACACAAACCATGATTTCTAGGATTGTTGCGGCCGTAATTACCTGATTTCATGGTTTTTCTTTAAAAAAATATTATTATTTCTATTATTTTATTTATTATTATTATTTATTCTGTTATTTTCTATTTTATTTTATTTTATTTTTTTATTTTTTTGAAAATTAAATACAATTTATTACAATTGAATTTCACACCAGCTTTTCTAAAAAAAAAAAAAAAGCATGTTGCATAGTTTGAAGGCTTTTTAAAAATGTATTTAAATTTTTTAATACCATTTTTTTTATTATCTATTTTGTTTGATTATTTTTTTTTTATCATTATTTCTTTCAATCTTATTTATTAAAATTAAATTTCACAGCAGCTTTTCTATAAAAAAAATGCATGGTGCAATGTTTTAAGGCTTTCTTAAATTTATTTTATTCATTTCTTATATTTTTTTATTTTATTATTTTCTATTTTAATTTTTTATTATGATTTGTTTAATTTTATTTTTTTATTGAATTTATTAAAAATTAAATTTCATGGCGGCTTTTCTTAAAAATGCATGTTGCATTGTTTTAAGGCTATTTTTAAATTCATTTTTTTATTTTATTTCTTTATTTCATTATTTTTATTTTTATTTTTTATTAAATGTAATTTATTAAGATTTAAAGGCAGCTGGTTCTAGTGAGCTGTCGTCAACTCAGAACTCAGTAGATCTGTGCTCTATGGTACAGTCATCTCTGCTGGTCGTCCTTGTTGTCTTCCCATCATCTGAGTGCAGTGATATGAACCTCTTGTAATGTGTGATGAGCCAGATTATTGATCTATTTGCACTTTAAACTAGCATCAGCAAGACACACGAGGCTTCCAGAGGCCAGGAGATTATACTTCTAATTAATGCTAACAGAAACAAATCAGCCGCAGGTATTTTGCCTCAAACTAAATAATAACTATGCAAAATAAAAACAATATAACTCTGAATCAAACTTATAAAATTAACTGCAAATTACACAACGATGTCTAATGGTTCCTGTACCAGAATGCTTTAGCTAATAAATGTGCTGCACCCTTTCTTTCCCTATGTGTCTGTCCGTCTGTCCTGTAGCTGCTGGACAGTGACCAGGAGCTGTACAAGAACTTCCCTCTGGTCATATCGGAGCGCTGGCAGCAGGAGGTGGCAGAGACGGTCTACGAGGCGGTGAACTCGGACACGGACAAGAACGAGGCTCGCAAGAGGGCCAAGAACAAGCAGCTCGGCCACGAGGAGGGTAAGACGACAAGAGAATGATCAAAACAGGAAACAAACACTTGAATCTTTGCAGGATATTCTAACTGTGTGTGTGTGTGTGTGTGTGTTTGTGTGTGTGTGCAGACTACGCCTTCGGAAAGGACTGCATAATGCACGGCTACATGTTGAAGCTGGGGAACCCGTTCCTGACCCAGTGGCAGCGCCGATACTTCTACCTGTTCCCCAACCGTGTGGAATGGAGGGGAGAGGGCGAGTCACGGGTCAGTTCACCCCACAGCACACACATCCAGAGGGGACCCGTCATGCTGTTCTTTATTTTCTGTTACATATATAATGTTACATCGTAGAGCTGCCCCCTGACAGTCAAACAAACGCTAGTCGTTTAGACCTCGCTTTTTCCAAGACACAGCATGTGTACGGCCCTTATTTCCAGGGCTGGTACCTGCGTATGTGGGATCATTTTGAGAAGGTGAAGGACGAACCCACGGTGATATGTAAACTCATCTTCATTGGTCGACTACAAACATGACGTATCATCTGAAACATGGAAGTAGCTACATGCCCATTAGTCCACAGTGTCATTAACAGGCGGCTCGCTCAGTGTGTGACGTGCACTTGGAGATAAAATATAGGCCTATATTAATGAAGGTTCATCAGTCAATCAATATATCATTTAATCATTACATTAACATCGTAAATATGCAGCCGACTAGTCAACTAATGGCGGTAAATGATGGCTATTGGTGGACTAGGAAAATTCTTAGTCGTAAAATAGTGTTTTTAGCAGTAAAGCAAGTACTAACCTGAAAATGTGCATGATAGGTCCCCTCAAAGAACGTCCCTCTCCATGTTCATGTTCATGTGTGTCATTTTCATGTTCGTCTGTCCTGAAGAGAGGGTGCTCTGCTACTGTTTGTCAGTGTATGAACGTTGTCTGTCTGTCTGTCTGTCTGTTTGTCCTGACGCCACACTGAAGGAGACGTGGCTAAAACATTTTAAAAAGCAGAAAGAAGGGGTGAGTGTTAACACAAAGGTCCAGGTCCCCGCTGTGTCCTCAGCGCCCCTTCAGCGTCCCTGCTGTCTCTGTTCAGGTGTTTAGAGCTGTAGTCCACCCCCCTGCTTCAGCCTCAGTAGTGAGCTTCAGTCTTAACGCCCTCCTCAAACTGCTGCTGGTGACTGAAACAACAGGAAGAGCCTCTCTGAGAGGCGTTCAGGTGCAGGAACTCACAGCTGGTTTCAAGTTTCAGTATTTCTCTTTTGTCTTTGTTTTACAGTTTTCTCTGAAACTCTGAAGCCTCTGTAGAGTCCTCCTCCCTCCTCCCAACAGTTTTCACCTTAGGAGCTCTCGTAAGGCCTGAGATGTTTTGTGAATCACTTTTATCTTTAAGGGATCTAGCTTTAACTAAAAGGGAAAGTTGGAATTCAAAGAATTTTCTCAGAAATTTGTCACTAGTAGGAACTGTTTGTCCAAGGAGACTTTGTAAATACGGCCCGAGGACATTTAGTGTGACCGAGGTCTCTCAGCTGTGGCTTCACGGCCCGTCTGATGCTGTCATGTTACTTTATAATGGTCCAGGATTTTAAGAAGTCGCAACTGAGACTTGATTTTGCTCCCAAAGTAGTCCAGTCTGACCCCTACAGCTCTGCAGCCACTCAGCTAGAAGTCTGATGCACCATCATCTGTATTCTGCATGGTGCTCTTCACCTTTACTCATTTCTGATTGGTCAATTTTGTTCCCAGCAAAACCTGCTGACGATGGAGCAGATCGTGACGGTGGAAGAAACGCAGATTAAAGACAAGAAATGTATCCTGCTGCGCATCAAAGGAGGGAAGCAGTTTGTGCTGCAGTGTGAGGTACGACCACTGGGCCACCTTTTCTCTCTGAGTGTCTGCATCTTGTCTGTGAGGTAAAAAGACAACGAGCTGATGTGTTTGTTTCTCGTGTGCGTGCAGAGTGATCCGGAATTCGTGCAGTGGAAGAAAGAGCTGACCGAAGCGTTCACAGAAGCCCAGAAGCTGCTGCGCCGCGCCCCCAAAGTCATCGGGAAAGGCCGGGCCGGAGTGGTGGAGCTCTCCAAACCTCCCCTCACACACCGCAATAGCAATGGCCTGTGAATACACAACACACACGCACACATATATAAATATATATATATATCTCACACACACATACACACACACCTGTACACACACACACACACACACTGCATCCCACCTCCTCTCCCTCCCCATCAGCTGCCCCGACACCTCCCCACAACGCCTTGCAGTGTGTACGGACCATGCACAGCAGCGTCTTACCGACACACACACACACATACACACACACACATTCGACCAATCATAAGCGCGATTTTTCGTCTGCCATGGGACCTTGCCAGTTCACCAAGAGGAAGAGAGAAACATTCGGGAGGGCTCAGCATGTGAAGAACCTCTGCATGAATGTGACGAGGACTGACGCCCGGTCCTCTGTTGTCCCCGTCTTTCTCTTTTTCTCCTCCCCTCCCTCTCTACACCTGTACCCCGCCGCCGCCGCCGCCGCCACCACTGGATGGGGCTTTCTCAACCAGGACCCACAGCAGCCTGGCGGGCTACAGGTCCAATCTCTCGGAGGCGGCGCAGATGAGGCCCTGAGGCTTTGGCGGGAGGACAAATAAATAAAGGCTGCTCGACCTGTTCTCCTCTAATCATCCCTCCCTCTGTTACTGAAGTGCGTAAAGTGCCAACATCAATATTTACTTGAGTCACCTGAGCAACCTGGAGGAGCTGCTTGGTGGCAGATATCGCCCCCAGATACACACAGGAGGTGGTGGTGGTGGTGGCGGCGGCGGCAGTGGTGGTGGTTGATCATTCCAATGCAGACAACAGGAAGTACAAGGACCACAGACTCTTTCAAGATTGGCTCCTGTACAGCCAGTTGCCATAGAGACTGGGATTCCATTGGCTGACAAACAGCAGCCTGGTTGCTATGGGAACCATGAAGACTGGTATACCTGGGGAACCGGTAACCACGGACAACGGTGTAACTATTGTGTATGAAGGCTACACTTGCAGAGGAAGAGGCGACGGAGGAGGGAGGAGGGAGTGACTCTGAGTGTACATACGAAACCCTTTCTCTCCCTCTCTGTGCATCTCCAGTGTTTTAGTCCAACGTGTTTGCATTATCGGGGACTTCTCTGTCTGCCTGTTTGTGAATCTGTCCTGGCTTTAGGGGAAGAAGAGGAAGAGGAAGAGTGTTTTCCTGCTGGGTGGGGTGGTGGGTGGCGGGAGGGTGGGGACAGCTTTCAATCACTCGCTGCGTTTACCTCAGTTGGACTGTGTCAGTTTGAGGCGTGAAACCTCTCCAAGGGCCGAGTGTCGCGCTCCGTGTTTGTTCGTCTGTGCGTTGTCGTGTCGCGGCTTCTTTTTTGGAAATTCATCGTCGCACGCAATTGTTGGGTTTACAGCTTTCGGCTTTTTGTGGATGGTGAATGAAGAAGACGAGCTGAAGCTAATTAAAGGAAAAATCCACCCTTAAATACACCAAACTTTTATAGAGGCATTTTATATTAAGATAATCTTTCTGATGTTTGAGGCATTTCAGGTGTTTGTTTTTTGTTTTGTTTTTTTTATGAAGGGTTGTTTTAGTTTTTGCACTCATTACCGCACCCTGCCTCATGTGCATGTCGTTCTGAGTTGTAGGGATGGGAAGTGATAAGAGTTTATTGATACTAGGGCTCCGACAGACAGTTACTTTCATTGTCGAATAATAAGTCGATTATTTTCACAACTTCAGCCAGCATTCCTGCTTCCTTACGCTATCTGTGTGTTACTGTTTCCAAATCCCCTTCAGAAACCACAACAACAACCTCCAAGCTCACAACTTAGACTTTGAAAATGTCACGTTGTTATGCGTTAAGGCATGCCTGCTTTTTTCTTACTGTGAGTTGATTTAGAAGAACTTGTGGACGCACCTCGGAACACCCCAGACTCGTCTCGCCGGACTCTCATGCCTCCGACATTGATCCATTTCTTGACTCGGCCAGTCAAGGTTAATTTGCCACGTCTTTTAACTCTGGCAGCGACATCGATCCGTTTCACTTCACGCAAGCTTCTGTGATGTCATCGTAATGATGCTCTGCTAGAGTCACATACAGTGACCGACAGGACTGTGATTGGTTTAAAGAAACAAAAACAAGCAAGAGTGTTTTTCCCCTGCAGCAGAAAGACAATCAGTGGTCCTAGACTTTTCTTTAGCGCTGACGCGAACCTGTGGCGATAGGTCCGCCTCGACGAGACTAATCGATTGTTGTTTGGTCTATAAAATGTCTTAAAATGGTGAAAAATGTTGATCAGTGTTTCCCAAAGCCCAAAACGACATCTTGAAATGTCCTGTTTTGTCCACAACCCAAAGACACTCATATATTCACATTCTAAAAACTGGAATCAGACAATTTTGACTTTTTTTCCCCTAAAAATTTCACTCAATCCAACTAATCGATTATCAAATTACTTTGGGATGAGTTTAATAGTTTCTTATTGATACCCATGCCAGTATCGATTCTGTTTGTTGGTGCTAATTCCTGATCAGTTTTCTCGGTGGAACAAAAAAGGCCCACACAGGTTTTATTATCTGAGTCTGAACACAGTGTAGCAGCAGTCTGTCGTGAAGGTTTCCTTAGTCAGAAAAAAGCTGCTTATCCTGTAGCTATGGTGTGGATGTTATTATTAACGGACGTGATGCTTGGTTGCGAAGCAGCATCGCTCGTGCGTAGAGACTCAAATACGAGGCATTCCTATTTAAGCCCAGGTTGTACAGGAAGATTTGTCAGTATATTGCTGGTGTTTCCACCCTGACTTGAAATGATCATTTTACAGTTCTTACAAGCAGCACTGTTGTCATCTTTAGTTATTTTTTCATCATATTGGCAGAAATGGGCCACCGTAGTTTTCTAGCAGAATAAAAAAAACAACACCATCCGTCAGCAGCGTGTTTATCTCACATTAAAGTGTTTCAGGGTGGAGTTTTCCTCAAAGTCTACTCATGATTTATTTTTTTGTTCCTAAATGTGACACAGTTCAGATGAGGTGAAACGTCTTCAATCGGGGGGCTTTGTACGGTTTCGCCGGCAGCTTCGCCGTCACCGTGAACCCCGTTGAAGTTTGAAGGGCAGAAACCGCGCACAATCGTATGGTGTGGATTAAAAAGAACACGCAGCGGAGGAGCAGGAGGAGCCAATTTATTGTTGGATACATTCATTGATTTCAGGGTTTTTATTTTGACATGCAGTACAGTGTCCTCGTCTGTGATGTCCATGCATTTCCGGAGCTGTGATGTGTGACCTTCAGTAGGAAAAGGGTTGATTAGGGGTGCATTGTGATTTTATTTTTCTTTCTTTGTAGCCTTTAACCAGTCAGGGGGAGATATTATCGTCTTATAGAGAAATTTTGCCACCTCTCAAGGTGTCTTTTATTTTTGTAAACCAAAATGGTTTTTATTGTTTCATTGAAATTTATGTCTGTTGCACCTTTTTAGCCCAATGTGTTACTTAATAGTTGTTAAATGTGCCAAATAACTGTTGCTGATTGAGTGGAACCAATGGGAAGCCTCCTTTTTCTGAACTTTTTGAACCCTTCTCGCCACACACGCCGCTTCACAAACTGTGCGGTGGCGGCGTCGAGTCTTCGAAGGGTACAAAACTGTGACCAAACATTTTTCTGGAGAAGACAGAGGTGTGTGTGTGTGTGTGTGTGTGCTCTGGCTTTCCACCACGTTGCCACAGGGACTCTCGACACACCATCCAGCTCTCTACTCTAAAAAGTTTTCTTTCACACTGTACGTATGTCATGTGAGTGTGCGAGCTTCATTATCTCTCTGTATGTTCATGCAGTGGACTTTATTATTATTATTTTTTTTTTTGGTGGTCATACACTCTGCTCAAACACACGCTCAACACACGACAATTTAAAAAGGATGGCATATAGGAAAAAAAATTCAAAGTATATATAAATATATGTGTATATGAAATGACAAAAATGCTCTAGGTTTATTTAAAAGATTTAATGTAGAAAACAAAATGAAAATGTTCGGGGAGGTCGGGGGTTTTGATGTGAGTATAATTGTTTGTGGTGAAGACTTCAGCTCAAATCTTGCACATAAAGACTTTAGATATTGTACCTGCGAGTTCCAGATGATTATTTTTGTTTGAATACAGGACTCTCTTTGCTCTTTCATATTTATTATTGCGTGTGTGGGGAGCTCTCTATCTCTCGCTCCGTCTCTCCTCCACGTTATGAGCTCTCAGCCGAGAGCTCGCTGTAGAAAAATCCTCCGGTTTACACCCATCAGAAACTCTCTTGTTTTGTTTTTTTCATATGCCACAGACAAACACAAATACTACTGGCTTTGGGTTTATTATTGCCATTAAGGTTATGATAATACTGATATATAATTGATAATATTATTCAATGATTATTATTAAATTTATTTTATTTCAATGATTTTTATTTTTTTGTTTTCGAGACAGGTAGGAAGTTGCGTGTTGGACTGCTTGTAAAAACAGTTCATGAATAAAAATCCTTTTTCCGTGTTGCTTCCTGTCACGTTTGCTTTGATTCTACAGAGTGTGTGCCTGAACTTATGTCTCAAATATCAGCTCATATTTGAAACGTGAAAATATTATTTGACAAGTCATTTTGTGCAGATTTAGTTTTATCCTTTTAATGACCCTAAAATGTTCCTTTGGTCTGAAATCGGCTGTAGCCAGTGCTGACAGGTAAGTAAATCTTTCCAGGTACTTGTACTTTACTTGACTTTCAGTTTTCTGCCACTTTATGCTTAATTACATCTCAAAGGGAAATATTTATATATGACTTCATCTATACCGGACATGAATTCATAAACGACCCAGCAGTATATGAAGAAATTAAAATGAGTTCCAACTTTACCAGCTGCAACATTAAAAACTTTAACACATAATATATGACACACATGGACACTTTAACATATATATATTACATGTGTGGACATACAGTGTATAAATTCTTGGATTTTTGTATTTTAAACCTGTTTGAGGATGATAAAATATTTTAGTATTATGTGCTTGAGGGCAATGAGTAATATATTTCATTCTGAAATGGGCCATTCTGTATAGTTAGTACTTTTACTTTTGGTACCTTAAATATATTTTGATGGTAATACTGTTATTTTATACCCTGTTTTTGGTGATCTGGTCACAGTTGGACAGCACTAAATTCAAGTCTGAACCACCACCAAGACACATTGTGACACCATCGCTCATGTCTTTTGTAGTGAAGATGCAAATGCGTACAAGCATACAAGGACTTCATCATCAGTGCAGGGCGTGGTGGTTGTTTTGGTGACAGTGCACTAAAACACTCTATAACGTACCAATTGAATGTCGAGTTGGACCAAGTGTGTCGGAGACGCTGAAACAACACAGCCACCAATGCAGTGGTTCCCAACTGGAGGGTCACAAGTCCGTTCTGAATGGATCGCAAGTGACTCATAAACATGTCAAGTTTGTAAAAAACACACTTTATTTTTAATTACAGTGAATTTCCAGCACAGAGCTTTTATTTTGAAGTGTCATTTCCTGCTGTAGAGTGAGTGACCAATGGGCAGCTTCTGAACAGAGACAGCAAACTAGCTCAACAACACGGCCAAACACAAGTATGATGCTGAATATATTAAACTGTGTGGACCTTGAACTAATGACGAAGGGGAAATCTGGACCCTGTGGCTGCACCAGTTGGGAACCACTGAACTAAAGTGACTAGCAAGCGTGCTACAGAGAAGCTAGCAAAAGTGTGGACGTAATAACTGCACGGGGCAGTAAAGAATTCTGAACACAAGTGGTCAGCTGGAGACGCATGATAGACAGGTGTGAACAATGATGTGTCTTGGCTTTCCAATTTGTGTACAGATTAACGAAACACGTTAACACCAGATGGAAACAGGGTCTTACTTAAAAGGTTCAGAGTTTAAGGTTTAGGGGGATTTAGAGGATTCTAGCAGTGAGGATTGCTGATTGCAACCAGCTGAAACTTCTCCTGATCCACAGGCGTCTGTTCTTCTCCAAAACAAACAGACCCAGAATGAAGGAGTTTCGTGTTTTAAATTTTTTTGGTTTTTCTGACCCTCGGTGCAGACGGGCTGCTAACTACAGTGGCATGAAAACCCAAATGGGCAAACAAAAAAAAAAAATTGATTTGTCCGCTCTGAGCTACAGTAGAAACATGGTGATCTCTGTAGACGAGGACCTGCTCTGTATGTCCGTATAAACGTTTCAGTCTGAGGTAACAAAAACACAACTCTTATTTTCAGGTGATTAAACACTAATGAAGACATACTTCTTATAATATATTCCATTTCTGCCTGTTTATCCTCCTAAACCCTACAGATTTGATTTAAATCTGGAATTTAACATGCTGTAAATGTGGAATTAGGGCAGGATGTAACGCTCACCAGCTTTAGCGAGCCCTTGTTGGTCCTTTGTTGGCAAGAACGTGATTGAATTTTGTCAAAACATAGATTTACTATGAGTGCTTTTATTTAAATTTTTATATGGCTGAAATGGGCCTCCATGAAGTGTTGATGTTGCAGCACTGTAATGTTTCAATGGCTCTTGGCCTGTGAGCTTTACTGCGAACCAGTGAGAAAGTAAATGAAGTTGTATTGTGGGTATATTCCTAGGATATTCTGGATGTTTTCAGAGGATGATTTTTGTCCTGTTGCTTCAAACTGAGCAGTTAATGAAGAGTTTCAACGAGGAGCATCTCTTCAAAGCTTTCATCGCCAACCAGCATCCAGAGGTGAAGAACAGAACCTCCGTCCTCTAAGTGAAGAGGTGAGTGGGGTTAAATGTGGTATAATTAGCTTACAGTTTATGTTCCTTTTCTTTTTTATTGAAGGTTAAATCCACAACAACAAAAATAACTCAACAGTTTTTAAAATGGATTACCATAAACATTCATACAGACACTGAATCATAATAACTGGTGATCCCCGCTCTTTACTCGCAGCACCATCAGGTCAAAAATGAGAGTTCGTCCAGTACAGCAGCATCACAGTGTTAGCATTCGAATAATATAAAGTGGATTAGCAGCTAATTAAAAACATCATCTCTAAAGTGCAGCCTAACGTTGAGTTACTACAAATTATTCTTGCTAATAAACGTTAGCATTAACTGCAGAAACATAAGCAAGCTAGCTGTCCAGCATGGTAGCTAATGGTGGCTAAACATTAGCATTGCTGTGGTGACCCTCCAGGGCAAAACACAACTGCGAAACAAAACACAACAGCAGTTTATAAAGCACATAACAGTAATTATAGTGTGTATAGAGTGGGTATATTTTCATATCTAACTGTGTGAATTAAGGTTTTTAACCAAACCAGAGTTGGTGATTGTTGGAACAGTGAAAGACTGAGACGGCCTTTGCGAGTTTTGATTTGTCTCTGTGGACGTGGAATGAAGTGTGTTTTACAATGATAAATTAACTGGATATTGAAATGTAGTCTGGTGGGTTTGGTGACGGCGACTCTGGAGCTGTTTCTGGTTAAACAAAAACAAAAAGAAAAAAAAAAAGATCTATTTCTGTAGGGATTCCTCAAATTTTGTCAGACAAAAGACGAAAACTCTGTGTGTCTGTTCCACGTGTTTCTCCTCACTGACTTGGTCAATCCATGTGAAATTTGGCACAGTGGTAGAGGGTCATGGGAGGATGCCAATGAAGCAATATTACATCAATTGGCCAAAGGGGGGCGCTATAGCAACCCATTGAAATGTCAAACTTTGAATGGGCATATCTCATGCCCCGTATGTCGTAGAGACATGAAACTTTGCACAGAGATGCCTCTCCTCATGAGGAACACATTTGCCTCAAGAACCCATAACTTCCGCTTATATAGATTTTCCGCCATTTTGAATTTTTTGAAAAACACTTCAAATGGATCTCTTCCTAGGAAGTTTGAGCGATCTGCATGAAACTGGGTGAACATAATCTAGGGACCAATATCTAAAGTTCCCTCTTGGCAAAAGTTGGAAAACTTACTAAAACTGAGCTTCTATAAGGCAATGAATATTGCGGAGGGCGTGGCTCATCACATAAAGGTGTATAACATCTCAAGGGTTTCACCCATCACCACGCAACTTTGTAGGCATATGACCACACATAATCTGAGGGGACCCCTCCATTATTGACCCCATCAAACAAAATGGGGGCGCTAGAGAGCTCATTTCTTATCTAGGCCTAACCGCCATATGGATTTTTACTAAACTTGGTAGATATGTAGAACAGGATGCCTCAAGGTGACTGGAGAAATTTAACTCTAATTGGCAACTGGGTGGCGCTATAACAACAGAAAAATGCTTAAAAATGGCTAAAATGTGACCGATCGCTGTGGCTCCCCCTGTGGACCAATGTTGGTGTTTTCTTCTAATTCTTGGTATGACTAAGTCATGGTATGGTATGCTGTACATAATCATGGAAACTGTTAGTGTGTGTTTCTGTCAGTCAGTCATTCTGTCTGTCCCACGTTTTTCTACTCACTGACGTGGTCAACCTATGTGAAACTGCACATAGGCATTGAGGATTGGCATAGGTAGAAGGTGACAAAGCTACCAATGGGTATGGACTAGTTATTAGAATTTTCAACTTCATGGTGTCACCAGATGAGAAGTTGGAGGATCACCAAAGTTATCCTCTGTCTGATCAAACTTTAATCAGAATCCACCGAATAGCCGACTCGATTTTTCAATTTGGGCCAAAGCGGTGAGCCAGCTAATAAAAACCTTAATTCCGCAGCATCACTGTCTCTGTAAGAAATATTCTGCAGGATCTTTGGTTTGTAGACACACTCACCAACAAAAAATAAAAGCCAACCCCAGATTCACTCACTACAGATACCTCACTATACCTGTTTATGAAGCCCTGACCTCACCTGAGCTGTGTGGGGTTACACTCCAATAAACATCCCAAACACAGAAAATAACAAGAAAATAAAAAAATACAGGCAGATGGCAGAGTCTTTGTAGATAAATACACCACTACACACTGAGAGTGGCTCATAGGAGCTGATTCTGTAGGAGTCCATATGTTGTCTTTTGTAATATCCTGCATAATAAAACTTTAAAATACTGCAAATCATTTGTGTGAAAACCAGTGGTGTAAGGTAGTTGTGACGGGCCCTAGTGTGCCCTATTTTACCAACAGTGTCTCTTACTGCAGCTTTTATGTTGTATCGTCTTGCAGGTGTGCCCAGTTTGTTAGTCTTGAGAGATTTTGCTCCTGAACTATCTACTGTAAATCATATCATCTCATTAAATGATTAAACAGGGACCTGATATTGGACACCAGCACACATATTACCCAGCAATCATAAAACTACAAAACAAAATAGGAAATTATTATTTTAATAAATTTTATACTATTTAAAAAAACAGAAAACCATGCTGGAGATGCCTCTTTGACGGCACATGCAGAAAATCACACCATTTTGATTTACTGGGATTTCTTCTTTTAACGCGGCCGTATTTCCAGATGGCGACCGGGCCCCTCCACCCCAGGGGC